TGTAGTCCGGCCTGAAACTTATAACCCCCCTGTCTCTGCCTCCCAAGTACAAGGTGACAGCTGGGAGTCACCCAATTGGCTAGGCTTATTTTTTTTTAAGCATCATGATTCTAAGTCAAAGAAAAACAAAACAAAACAGAACAAACATCTTAAATGAAATGAAAGGGAATGAGAACTCTGGGTTCCCAGGTTCCCGGCTGAACAGCAGCAAAGTAAAAATGGCTTAAGAACGGAAAGCAAACCAGCTCTGAGATCTTGTTAGCATTTGGCTGAGCTGAGAAAAAGTGTGAGCTGTAACAATATAGCCAGACCACCCCTCTCTGGAAGATCCCTCTTCCCAACTTGAGTGAGACTTTCCGTCCTAGTTTAAGAAACTAGTTGAAGAATGGGATACCCCCCCCCCACACACACATTCTAGCAAGCTTATTGTACATGGTTTCCCTGTGTCCAGCCTCAAATAGAAAGCTCTGAAAGAGCTTTTGGTGTTGACAAAACATCTCATGAGAATAGCACTTTTTCAGTTTGGGAATTAAAAAAAAAAAAACCTGTGCACCTTCAATTCACCTCATTTAATGACTTTTTAAAAAGTAAATGTTTGATGCCTTTATAAGAACATTCTCATTTTAAAAATGATCCTGTTCAAAAGAGCTTATAGGATGAAAGCACAAGAAAGAAAAGAAAAAAGAAAACCAGGCAGAGCCCTGGAAACAACAGTGAGTAGACTTCCCTCCATTTTCTGAGAATGCCAGGATGTCAGAGCTTAGCAGCGTTGCCTCCTAATAAACTCAGGCAGCTAAAGATTGTTCAGACTTTATAATAATACAGACTGTGCCTATAAAGAAAGCTAACGAGGTTACCTATAAGGAGCTATAGCCTCTCAGAGAGGCTTCTAACTAGTTAAAATAAATTCAGAGCACTTAATTTCTGTTCCTTATAAAACAGTATTAACTCAGTTCCAACGTAAAAACCTATCTTGAATGTCAAATTTACATGTAACTAAAACCGGACCTCCTCTTTATTAACTTTATATATTCAATTTCTCCAAGTACAAAGACCAGGTCTTTAAGCTGGTTGCTTTAAACACTAAGCCTCAACATTAAACAGCATGATTATTTTCATTCCAATAAAAACTGTACTTCTACTACAAAAGAGTTTTAATTCTCTGCTGTACTTACAAACACAGGCAAAACATCATGCTATGGCATTAAGCCATAAGGACTGCCTGGCCTGTGTTCATCTGGTCATAGGAAAAGAAAACTAGTATCATTTAATAAGACCACATGGACAGGTAGACACCCAAATGCCTCTTAATGTGAAAAGCAGTGTTCCACTGGACAGATGGAAAACCCATAGGATGTCAAAGGTATTAGTGGTGCAATGGCCACCCCCATCTATTCTGCAAATGCCACAAAAAGGTATCTTTTCTTGAGTACATGCAGAGAGGTAGAGAGGGAGGACCAGCTCAGGAGGAAGAGTGAAGGATCACGCAGTTGCCTGGGCACTCTAAATAATGTGAGTTGTATTTTAAGCCCAGGACAAACTGGGCTGGGGCTAGGGATGTAAGTCAGTAGCAGAACACTCGACAGACACATGTCAATCCCTAGGTATGATCTCCAGCATGTGAAGCAAAAGTATTTTTACACATGGAAGTATGTGTGTGTATATATAAACATATACATATAAGACATATGGGACTATAAATCCCCCCCCCCCGGGGGGGGGCTTGTATGGACTTTGTCTTTCTAGGTTTTGTAATCCCAGCATTAGACACACAGCGTGTTACAAGAAATGATTTCAAAATGTGATTGATTAGTGAGGGAATGAATGATCTAAATTGATGAGCCCCTATGACACTTTTGAACAGTGTCAGAGACCACAGCACATTTCACCAACATCTTTCACACAGAGGGAGCTTCCTGTTGTTCCCCTGAGAAGGCTAATGGACCCTGCATGCCTCTTAGAAGAGGTGTTAGGTAATACATACGATACACTGAAGATCAACATGGTGTTTAAGGATGTTTCGAAGGAGTGGATACTGACTCCAACAGAGCATCCTACTCTCTTGACATGTTTGAAAAGGTCAAGAAAACCACAAATATAGAAAAGTTGTTGGCAACATGGCACCTTTGTTAAGAGACAAGGGGACACTTGGTGGTACATGAGGGATAGAACCTGAGGTATGATAAGGAGGAGTGGCTGGTGCAACAAAGGGTTATGCCACTGTCCAGAGGAGGACGGCAGTTGCTCATCAGAACACCATGATGGGGGACATCCTTCTGTATATATATTTCTCTTGTTGGTTGATGAAAAAAAACTGAATGGCCAGGCAGGAAGTATAGGCGGGGCTACGAGAGGAAGGAGGAGGAGAGAGGGGGGGAGAGAGACCCCAAAGAGACACTATGCTGCCGAAGGAATAACGTGCCGGATTATGGGTAAGCCACAGCCTCGTGGCAATATGTAGATTAATAGAAATGGTTAATAATTAAGACACAGCTAGCCAATGAGAAGCCCTAGCCATTGGCCAACAGTTTATAAATTAATATATGTCTCTGTGTGTTTATTTTGGACAACGAGGTTGTGGGACCAGGCTGGAAAGAAACTCCAGCAACAACGTGAAGTCCTTAGGTGACTATGGGGTGGGGGGGGTGAGGGGGGGGGAATGCCAGGCTTCCACCCTGCTCAAGAGAGAGAAGGCTTCCCTGCAAGGAAACTAATCAGTGTCTGGGAGGCCCTCACAGATGACTCTCTAGACTTTAAAAGGGAATGCAAGGCAGAATTCCATCCTTCTGTAGACAAAAACACCAGGAGCTCAGACAAACAGCAGTGAGATTAATGCACAATGATGACGACTCCAGAGACTTCAAACTCTGCAGTAACTATGGCACTCAAGCATGCCAGAGCAATTGAACTGTTAGTGGGTAGAAAGGACACAAAGATCCAAGACTGAGAGTACCTTTCAGGATCAAGGCACTGAGGCCCGAAATGAGTACACCAACAACCACGGCTTCATCCTTCCCAAAGACCAAGTAACCGCAAAGTGTTAATCAGAGACCAAGTGGAGGTGACTCCACGCGCTCCATCTGATCTATTCTTTGCTGTCTTAAAATGAGTTCAAGTTAATCAGTAAACAGAATTCCAGGGAGATGAGGTGGCTACAGACGAGAGGTAGACAGAGGGCATCTGAGAAGGTTCCCACATTCATCCTCTTGTCACTGTGGCAGGAATGTCAAACAAATCATTGTCTACTCATAATCCTAGAAGGTTTCCACATGAGCCAGGGCCACCACTACCACTGATCTGCAAACATGAAACATGTCCAGGTTAACTTTACTGAAGACATTTATAAACCCAGGACCTACTCATCTCTTTCTCATGCTGAAGTAAGTAAAGCATGAATGATAAAATTGTATCACTGGACCATCACACACTGAAGTGCCTTCGCCCTCACCATCGGTGTCTAAGACTCCATGCACATTTATTTTGCCTTTTCAGCACTAGGAATAGAACCCAGGGCCTCGCCTATGCTGGGAAAGTGATCCACTACTCAGCCAAACTCCCAGTCCCAAAGGCTTCATAAACCAATTACTTTTTGTATGGGTGGCCCTTAGAAGCAATTTTATGATTATAAAGGAATACAAGATATAAATATTAATGCACAAATTCATGAACCGGAACACAAAAGAGTAAAGAATCCAGGAAGGGAATACAAAATAGCTTCAGTTGTTTTCACCACTGTGAAAGAACAGTCCATCCGAAAGCCTAACAAATTTATCAGTTTACTCATTAGCAGGATTCTTAGTGTTGTGATGATTTTCCCTATGACTTCACAAGAGCAATCTTTAAAAGCAGTGGGAGGTTCTATATGATGCATCCAACAAGTTAAATCTATTGATATTTAATACTTAATATTTAATATAAATACTTTCTTCAGAAAGCACTTCCGATGACTCAAATCCATTCTTATTTTTGAGTAGTTGTTTTAATAAAGTTATGTTAAGATTAATAAATGATGACTTAAAGAGAGACATTTCTGAAAAGAAATCTACAAGTCTGAAGTTTTAATTTTCTTAGAGGGAAGATGTCTGAATGCTGAGGAGCTCCTATCTTATGTTCCTGTAGATTCTGACTGAACTGCCAATGCTAAGACATGCCGTGACATTTTTCTGTGTTACACATGTCTGTGAGGGGGGAAGACTCCCTCCCGTTCCTGATTCATAATCTTAGGGAAAACACGACTGGTGCCGACATCTCTATCAGCTTTGCTGGAAACTGGGGCAGGTACGACCTCCCCAGATTGTACAATCATGAGCTGTCACAGTGGGGAGACCCTGCCCAAGGAACTGATAGAGGTGTGCCTTTCTGCCGTGATCACCTTTGGTTTCAGGAAGAGAAATACTCTCTGTACCTGAAGCTATTCCACTCTCTTGTCCCTAGACTCCAGTGTACCAACTGATATGCAGTGTTTCTGTCTCTCAGCATGATTAAAAAAAATGACACAAGGGTGTGGGGTATGGTCATGCCTACCCCAAGTAGAAATCACCAGCATGAGGCAGAGTTCCCCTTCTCCCATGTCACAATGGAGCTGCACGTCTGAGAGAGCCATAGACACAACCAGAGCTCGGGTTTAGCCTACATGCATGGAAGGAGGAGGGGCAATGGAGTGGAGATTGGCTCAATCCACCCTTGGAAACCATGATGGGGCGGCTTGACCATAAACACATGTGATCTCTTTTAAAGAGTCCCAAGCTAGTGTGTGTGCAATTGTGCAACTTTTGCTGGGAATAAAAGAGCCCGCATCCCTAGCACAAGTGCTTCAGTAGTTCCGCTCAGCTTTGCTACTCACCAGGACTCTGGTGGGGGAAGAGTCTGAACCTTTGACCTCCTGCGCCTCAAATGATAACCTTTTATGAACAGACTAATTCACTATCTGTTACAACACTGTTCCAAAGGACAGAAATACGAAGAAGGTAGCAAATGAGAAAGGGAAATGTAATACTTACTTTCTTTAAATGCTTGACAGTAGCCAAGGAAAGATAATAAAAAGAACAGGGCACACAGGAGGTCTGCTCGGCCAACAACACCAGCAACCTTAAAAGAAGGGGGGAAAAGATTTACATAAAAATATTTTAGCATTTGTAAATTTTGGACATTCAAAATGTTCCTTAGACACAAAACAAGCAACTTACTAGACCCCACCACCTATGACATCATGTCTGCAGTGCTGTACAAACCCAGTAGTGTTACCTTACAGCTGGTTCGTTCTCTTCACCCTTCCTGGTACAGGACTTCATTTCACTGCTTTAAGAGAAACTGGGCTGTTTGAGCACACTGTTCTGGGCACAGCACAGGTCTAGCAAAAGCGATGTTATTTAACATAATACACTCAAGAACACTAGAGACCCAAGTTTCTCATGTCCCATAGGAGATTTTTCAATCAAAAGTGCTACCAGCTCAGAGTGCACAATAGTAAAAAAAAATATATCCTGGGACCGGCAAGATGGAACAGTGGGTAAAAGTACTTGGTGAACTAGCATGGAGATGGGGTTCAATCCCCAGAACCCACAAAAAGGGGATGGTGAGAAACTTCAGGGAGTCCTCTTGCATGTGTATGTCCCATGGCATGCATGTCCCACCCCACCCTGGATTATCAGGCATACACATACATCAAGCATGAACCTATGTGCATACACACACACAACAACAACAACTAATAATAATACTAATAATAAAAAATTTAAAAAATTAAGTCTGGTTGGAAACATGAAGGACACAAAAGTAGGAAATATGTTAAAAGTTTAGGCAGAAAGGAAAAGGTAGGCTTAATGCCTCTGAGCTGCCTCTGCCATCCTCTCCCCCTGATTCAAACTGGTTTAGAGGTTACCCTTCGAAGAGAGGATGCTTTTCATGTGACCAATGAGATGAAACAGAGCATAACTCCAATCCTTTCTCTCTCCTCATTTCCACAGTGACAATTCTGCCTTCTTCCCCTCCTTCCCCCAGTGACAATGAAGCTGTATCAAGTTTGGGTTCCTCTTTCTTCCAAGCTGATTACCCCCAATAATTGCTTTTTTCTAAATATAAGGAAAAACACAGAATTCTACCCATGAATGCTGCTCTAGTTTAAGGAGTGTTCTTCACTAACTGGCACCGAAACAAGTGAATTTGGGACCAGCCTGGGATGGGAAGACCGTATCTTGTCCCCTCCCTGGCAGAACATCTGGGTTCGTAATGGGTGGGTAGAAGTCTTAAAGAGGTCTAAGCTTTTCTGATACCAGAACCCAGGCAGCTTGTCACCTTTAGCCTCACTTTAAGCATGATGGCACTCATGTCCTCAAGGACTCCTTGGGAGCTTCTTATCCTGATGGGTGACCCCAAATTAGATCAGGGCCTAAGCAACATCTTCTCATGCTTCTCCTCCCTCATAGGGAGCCAGTTTCCCTGTCAGAGGCCTCACGTGTCTAACAATCCACAATGATTTGGGATGGCATACTGGGTAAGGGTGGGGTGGGATGGGGGGTTGATTGATTTTGATTTGTTATCACCCAAGGAACAAATCAATTTGGTCGTAATGATTTCCCTAGCAATCAGAGCCCAGATGAGGATCAGACTGAAGGGTGACCAGTTCACCCCACTTCACCTGCGGCCGTCTTGGCTCTCGTCAGAACTCTCTGTCTCAGGCACACTGGATGGCTAGGAAATTGTTAGGTGCTAAGTTGGTTATGGCAGCACAACTCTATAATCCAGAACTTGGAGATCGGTATAGGACGATCAGGTATTAAAAGTGGCCAGTTGTGGCTATGTAACACCTTGTCTCAAAACAAAACAAAACAAAACAAAACAAACCAAGACAAAACAAAAAACCCACAGGATAAAACAAAAACCCCAATAATAACATAAAAGAGAAAATATGAGTGTTTATTTGCAGTGGGCAAAATATCTTCAATGGGGGAGGGAGGACAAAGGCACAAAACACATTCATATTAATTACAAAGAAATGCATGTCATTCACACATGGCAGGGCTCATGCTGCTACTCCATCCTCTTAGCACACACACACAGACACACATTTACTCCAAGCTGCAAGCTCCTCATGCCACAGGGAGCCAATGCAGGGTGGGACCATCATGGCCACACCGTGGCAGAGAACCAGCTGTCTCTCCCATCCTGGCAGGACAACTGTGAGACATTCCCCTGCCACCTGAAGATAAGCTCCAGATGTGTTGCTCTTTGCACATATTTAAAGCTAGATGATATATATATATATATATAATGAGATATATATATCTCATTAGAGAAAACAGGGAAAAGCTGATAAGAGGAAATTGAATAGCGTGTCAAAATAATGAAAGGTAAACATGCAAAGTGTCTGTGAATGCTAATTTTTAATTATCCCTTATTTTCTGAAATTTGAGTTTAAATGGTTGTCATGGAATGATAGAGAGATGAAGAGAATTTTCAAGCATTCCTTTCTCCCCACAGGTAGTTACCCCCTCTGTGTGCATGTATATGTGTGCCCATGCACCTGTGTGTGTGTGTGTGTGTGTGTGTGTGTGTGTGTGTGTGTGTGTGTGTGTGTGTTCATGTGCATGTATTCGGAAGCCAGGTGTCAACCTTTGGTATTATTACCCAGTGTCAGACCACCTTGGATGATACAGGGTCTCCCATGGGCCCAGAAAGAGATAATCAGGACACACTGGCTGGCCAGGGAACCCTCGGTCCCCATCGCTGGTACTATAGGCACACACACTATGCCAGGAATTCTATGTAGGTGATCAAGGTCAGGTCCCCATGCTGTACAGTAAGCACTTAACCAGCTGAGCTACCTCTCCATTTCCCTCAGTTTCCCTTTAAAGATATGAAATATGGCCTTTTAGGATTAGCAGATAAACTGAATTTATCTGCAGTGTGTGTGTGTGTGTGTATGTGTGTGTGTGTGTGTCTTTATGCATGCACAAACGTATAAGCATACCCAGGCCTTGAAACCTTTTTATAAAACAACTCCTCAATACTTAAAATCATATTTTTGGGAAACCTTTGGTTAATCATTCGATTTTATTTTGGTTTATGATTATGTCCAATTAGACAAGAAGCAAACAGTCAATCAGTTTTTTGTTTTGTTTTGTTTTGTTTTCCAGAAAGATCCTTTTGTGTCACTGCATCTGAGATGCAACAAACACTTAGACCAGAGAAGTGAGGCTGCAACCGATTCTACTTGGTCACGGTTATAAGAGATAAAGGGTTTAAAGTGGACTCCTGCAGCATGAGCCATGGCCTTTCACAAAAGATACAGAATATAGCAAGAAAAATTCCATGGTATTCTCTAAACCAAAGAGCAGACATTATGAGAAATCAGATGCTAAAAATAAAAATTCTGATTAACACTTTAGGATTGACTTTAAGACCCTCAAGAGGATAATCAGTTAAATGTTAGGCATTTAAATGTCTGTTAGAGGTCAAAGTCTACTGTGAGAGAAATAGAAAATGTAGCATTCTAATACAGACGTTTTGTGCTACCAGAATGACTAAATCCCATCTTCTTCTTCAGTAACTCACCACCTCACATTTTCCAAGTGCTCAGGTGTGCATATAGAGGTTTCCTGGCAACCTCCCACATGTCCAGTTAAATCTTGACAGTCTAGGTCTAACATGTACTCTTCATGTCCTGGGCACGGATCCTCAGAGTTTTAGCATGCCCAACATTCACTTTTCTTTATCCTCTTGGGATACTACCTGTAAAGTTGTACTAGACCACCCGATGTCACAGTGCTTTCATGCTAGCTATATTAAGAAAGTATTTTGTAAGTCATAAAGCCAGCTACCACAGAAAAACTGCCCCAGGCCAGGTATGGTAGTGCACACTTTTAATCCCAGCCTTCAGGAGGCAGAGGGAGATGGATCTCTGTGATTTAGAGTTCAGTAGGTGTACATATGGAGTTCTATGCCAGCCAGGCCAGGACCTATACAGTAAGACCCTATCACCCTCCAAAAATAAATAAAACAAACAAATAAAAACTGCCCTGCAGAGATAGATCTTACTAGGTACCTGTGGCGCTGACCACACCCATGTAGGCGTAGCCACAGGTGTGTACTGGGTATGTGGGATTTAGGCTTGAGGAGGGGACTGGCTCTCTCGGGGTTCTGGTCGGATCTCGGAGGGCAGCTGAGATTGGATGCTTGGAGCGCTGACCCTGGGTTATTGGTTTCTCATATAAGTGATTCTCCCCAATAAAATTAACCTACATCACCCCTATCCTGTCTGCACTGAGGAAGGGCCTTTAGGCTGCCAAGTCAAGCAACATCAGCATTTATGCCCTTGAAATCGGTGTTGTCACACAGGCTAGAGACAGTGCCACCCAAGATCACAGAACACTCGGAGGAGAAAGTCTCTCAGGACAGTAGCTGTTATTTGTCCATAAAGAGATAACCCTAACCAAGTCATATATCTGACAGGGAGAGCATTGTGTATTTCCTGAAGACAGTGTGATATGCGCAGAAAGAGCCCATTCCAGAAAACCAGATGTCACAAAGATGTCTTACTTCTTACACACATGCAGACTGTCACACAGGAGTCATACTTACACACTCGGTGTGCACTGGATGGACAGCAAACAGCAGTGTGGCCAGCAGGGACGCTCTGGGGGCCAGGTGTGCCCTCCGGCCTTTACTAGTGTACTGCAGGCCTCCGAACAGCACTGAGAAGACGTCTAACATGAGGATGGAGATGCCACCATGCAGGAGGATGTTGACCACATGGAACCCCACGGGGTGGAAGCCTCCAGACAGATAGTAGTTGATCCTGCAACAAACAGTGATTGTTCACAGTGGATTCATGAAGCACACATGGCAGAATGGTAGCTGTTGAAAGATCTTGGTACTTCCGTCATGGAAACAGCTCCAAGGTAATAAATAATTAATACCAGTCCAGTTAAGGAGCCTGAAGAAACCATGAACACGATTAGTCATAGAGAAGAGTGGGAGAAATGGCCATGTCACAGGGAAGGCACTGACAATACAGGAAGAAAGGCAAGAAAGGCAAAAGGGAAGCTAGACCCTTTTATTTATTTATCTTTAAGTTCCCAAAGGATTATTTTCCAAGGATAAGATAAACCACAAATCCTTTGAGGCTACTACACAAGGGCCTAGATTTAAACTAGTCCACACAACCTATGCATCTGTACTAAAAGGTCTTTCAACAGCCTTCTTCTGCAGGACACCTTCCTACTGTTAGTGTGAGGCTTTCTTTTGACTGCTTCTCAGTTGCTGGTGGCTCTAAACATTTTAAAATATTTCTCTGCAAGATCTTATATGCAAGAATTTAAATGTATCCCAGGAACAGGTATAGGAACTGTCACATGACTAGTAACCTGTGGTGATATCTTTCTTGTACAAATAAAGTCTGTCTGGGGGGATCAGAGAATGGAGCTTGCCACTAGCTAACTACTGAGGTCTGGATGTCTGTACAGACAGGCAGGAAGTGATATAGCTGGGTAGAAACAGGATATAAGCAGGGAGAAACAGGAAATCGCTTTCTGCTGAGACATAAGGTATGGCTGTGGCTTGCTCCTTCTCTCTCATCTCTCAGCATTTCCCTCTTTATCTGACTAGGGCTTTTTATTGTATAAACCAATTAAGAATTCCTTTTACACTAATCCTGGTTAATGGGGACAGAAGTCACCTGTAAACTTCATTTTCATTATATATTGACTTGGTAATGGTAGGATGATTCAGAGCTTAATTATGTCATGAAAAAAAAAAACCCACAATTTTATTGGGTGCCTGTGTTGCCTTGATAGGTATCATATTGGTCCCCTGCTTTGCAAACCAAACAGTAAAGGGTGAGCTCCCTGAGAACCAGAGACACAGATGCTTTGCTGGCCTGAATGTCATTCCTGTGTAACTCCAGCTTTAGTTTGTACAGATCACAAGGAGATTCCTCAGACATAGCCTCTCAGCCTCCCTGGGGCATCCTTCCTAAGACCTGAAATAAGCAGACATCTTAGGTAGGACTCCATCTACCTAAGAACTAATGACCGGATCCCCCCACATATGATGTCACATGGAAACCTCAAAGATGCTCCTATTCCCACTGTTACACCTTACCTGAAGGTTAGGACAGTAAGTGGTCGGTAGGACTTGTGGCTGGTATTGCTGCTCAGTCTACTGCCCCAGAAGTCATGGTGCCACAGGTCCCCCAGGGGTGTCTCTGATTGGAGGTCCTGCAGAAACACAATGGGACATTCTGGACAAGGAGTTGTGATCCTACCCTAATCTTACACCGAAGCTTTGAAAGCTCCCTAAAGCTGTCAACTCTGCACACTTCATCCTTCCTACAAGCCCTAGGCCCAGCCCACCATCATCTCTTCTCTAAGGACATAGGAAAGGCTTCTTAAATTGGCCACCATATCCCTCACGTTTTCTACACAAAGTACTTCTAAATGTACATTAACTATCCAGCTAGTTGCAAGCCTTTCAATAGCTTCTGACCTTCCTGGATTAAAGCTGATGTCCTCTGAAGGCTTCCATAACCTCTGTGCCCATCTGTCTGACTCCAAGTTCCTGCCCATATCTCGTGAGTTCCTTCCCCAGAGGCTTGACATAGGCCAGTCTGCCCTAGATGGTCACCTTCAACCCTATGACATCCCAAGTCGATCTCAATCCTTTTCTGTGGATTCCAGGGCATCTCATATCTGTCCCCACAGCAGCTGGCACACTGGTCACTCAAAGCCATGGCTTAATTATCTGTCACTAGACTGGTGCTCCGAAAGGCCTGGGCCACATGAGCTGAAGTACAGAGAAAGTGCTTAAAACATGCCAAGAGAACGGACCACTCGGCCACATAAGGTTACTACTCTCCTTTCACAGACAATCAGTAAGGTAAAGTATTAGAAAAACATCCAGCTTAAACAAGTTGGGCAAATATATTTCTTAAAATTTCTACTTTCAGTTGAGCAGACTGTGAAACTAGGGAGAAAAAAACCTCCCATACAATTTTAAAATATAAGATTACTAAATATTAAACAAAACTCTTTCTGCTGAGATAAGTTAACCTTGTATTATACCAAACATGACTAAATGCATTTTTTCTTACACTTAAAATATGAAACTAAATGCTATAAAAATTAAATGAGGGGGCTAGAGAGACAGCTCAGCAGTTCTGCTCTTTCAGAGGACCTGGGTTCAGTTCCCAGCACCCATGTTGGGTGGCTCACGACTCTTTGTAGCTCTTTGATGGGGGTATGTCCTTCTGTATATATGTTTCTCTTATTGGTTGATGAATAAAACAGTGATTAGTCAGTAGAGATGGGGTTGGGAGTCGAGGAGAATGCTGGGGAGAAAGAGAGAGGCACCACCGAGGGGACACCATGTAGAGACTGGGAAGATAGGATACACCAGGCCTTCTCTGGTAAGATAAGGCCATGTAGAAATACATAGATTAGTAGTTACAGGTTAATAATTAAGACAGAGATAGCTGGTAAGAAGCTCTAGCCATCGACCAACAGTTTATAAATTAATATATGTCTCTGTGTGCTTACTTGGGGCAAATCAGCTGTGGGACCAGGTTGGAAAGAAACTCCACCTACAGCTCTTGCTCCATACCTGCACATGACTGGCCCTTAACTCCAGCAGCTGTGTGTACTTAACAGGAGAAACTGCACATTACCAGCTTTCTGAGAAATGGTCTTTAAGCACAGGAGGAGGCTCAAACTCAGAAGAAATGGCTAAGTGGCTCTCCCAAAAGACCTGAGTTTGGTTCTCAGCATCCAGCTTGGGCTCATAACCAACCACCTGTGACTCTAGCTTCGGGGATTCAATGGCCTCTTCTACCACTTCAGGCACCTGCATACATGTGGTGGTGCAAGCTCACATACATGTGGTTAAATGATGGATGGCCACAAAGAATAAATATCCTCGCTGCTGCGATACGGACTTAAGTACATGATGACTGAATGAAGTTGCTGACTCAAAGGGAAAACCTCAGGAGGAGGAACAGATGCAAAGTCCATCACTTGATTCTCAACGTGACTTTCACTCCTACCAGCTTTGGTGGCCTTAAAATTTTAGATCAGACATCCAACGAATCAGTTGGATGTTTGCAAAGATTACAGGATCCATCTGCCAACTGTGTGACAAAGTGGGAGCCCAAGTCTTTGTGTTTTGCCACAGAAGTGCCTGTTCAGTGTGAGGTGGATTCGGAGTAGCATCTCATCCTCACTCTGAACAGAAATGAACACCAAAGCAGCTCTAAATATTTAATTAGGCACAGCCTAACGGAGCAAAGTATGAGAGAGAAAGGTCAATTTTCTTTTCTAATGATTTATGGGAACACTAGATTGCATCTGAAATCCCTCCTAACAGTATTGTCTCGGAGATCATCTTGTGGAACAAAAAATAGCAACTCAGCACAAGGAAGCATCTAGCAAACAGAGCCCCCCCCCCCCCCCCCCCCCCCCCCCCCCCCCCCCCCCCCCCCCGGGGTGGAGGTGTGCATTCCATTCAACAAGCAAGGAGAACGGGGGCTGACGAGTTAATACACGGGGCAAGAGGTGGCATTACAGAAAATATTGCTTAAACCACACTGGGCAGGGGCACAAGATGCCTGTCCACTTCCTTTCACACAGAAGGAAGACTACAGTGATCATCGGAACACTCCACACACCAGAGCCCATGCTCAATGGAATTTTCCATCACAGGTTCTGAATTAACCCTTTACATACCCAAACAGAGGTGTGAAGAAAGTCACCACAATAAATAACAGGACTTAAACAGTAAAAGCAAATCCTTGTTGGAAAAGTTATCCTGTGGCTAGCAAGCCATGGATGTGGCACAGTTGTTCAGAGCTAATTGCTACTTTTAGGGAGTCACCTGTCATAGGTGGCAGGTGAATGCAAGGGAGGGAAATTACAGTGGAAAACGTGAGTTAAAAGTGGACATCAACAGATCCAAGTATGGTGGCTCATGCCTTTAAACCCAGCACTCAGGGTGCAGAGACAGGTGGATCTCTGTGAGTTTGCAGGCCAGTCTGGCCTATATAACAGTTCTAGGCCAGCCAGAGCGATATAATGAGACTCTGACTAAAAAACTAGTTATAAAACAAGTAAAACACCTGCAAGTCAAACATAGCTTTCTACAACTTCTTAACATATGGTCTTGCCATGTGGAGTTTTCTTTGACATTTTTCTATGTAAAAAGGACTTTCCTTCATTTGGTGATACCCATGATTTTAAATATATACACAATTTATATAAAATACATATTTTTATATACTTATGTGAAAATATATTTTATAGCCTTTATTAACCTGTGTTTGTACACACACACACACACACACACACACACACACACACACAATGGTGTGTGTGTGTATAGGATAGAGGACAACATGCAAAACACTCTTTTCCCTCCTTCCACAATGTGAGTCCTGGGGCTCGAACTCAGGTCATTACCCTGCTGAGCTATTTCAATGGCCTTCATTTCTCATGAGCACGCAACTCTGGTGCTGCAAAAGCTCCTGAGTGACATGTCCCAGAGAGACAGACAGGTACATTCCTTCAAGTGCCAGCCTGGTCTCCAGAGCGAGTGCCAGGAGAGGCTCCAAAGCTACACAGAGAAACTCTGTCTCGGAAAAAAAAAAAAAAAAAGAAAGAAAGTCAACCTGTGTGCTCACAACACAACCCGTGTCCCGACAATACTGTAAGCGACACGACCCATGTGCTGACCACACAACCCGTGTGCTGACAACACAGACTATCACAAAGGCTCTACCCCACGCCACTCCTGAGCATTGGTTCTGCCTGAGCATTGGTTTCTTATTCTCATTTGAATCTTTTCCTTCCCATTTTAAAATAAAAAAGATGACTGTTTTCCTAGCCTTACAGAGCTGCAACTGGTGAGCAAGATGGACTAGGATTCTGCAAACATGGAGCAAGTGGGGAACACTGTACCCCTTGGCAGCACATTCTTTCTTCCAGTAGCTGTCAGCACCCACCCTCACGCAGTGGAAGCCAGAGTCATAGCCAGCTGCTGCCTGCTACAGATCACACACCTTTCAATAGGTGATTAGATCCATCCATCACTACAACAAACGGATGAGTCTCTTTCTTTCCTCTCACAGTTCTGGGGAGTTTCATAAAACACAAAGTACTCAGTCTGCTCCGCTCTGCAACACTCCCAGTCTTGTAACCTTAGCAGAATGGCCTCTCTGATACATGTGTGGTTGGGGTCTCCTGAGAACAGACAGGTGCTGCAGACCTGAGACAATAAATTTAGGAGCTAATGCATAAAATGAAAGGGGAAATCTATAGCTTAAGTGAGACCTAGACTAAGAGTCAACCCAAGCTTAACAGAGAGCTAACACCAACTTGGATGGTTACTAAGACATAAGCAAACTGGCAGGTGAAAGTTTCCTAGAGGATTAAGACACAAACCTTATTGTTAATAATAGCTTCAGAGTCATCAAAGACAAAATCTCCATCATAGCTCCTGGCAAAACACACGAGGGAAACGAATCCTACTACTAACTTAGCCCAGAAAGGGGACAGGACAGAAGACGGGATGATGTGATCCAAGTCAGCGTCCAGCTCCGCCATCTTGAAAACTGCCAGCCGCCAGCCTCCTGCTCCAGCATTATGCTGAGAAATCTGCAAGGGAGATAAAGTCATGTTAAGCACACTTCTGCAGGGGACATCTTTACCTTAAGGCAAGAGCTAGATCAGTAGGTACGCTGTGATACTATAGGAGGTGATCATTAGACATGTTAAGTCATGGTTTCCAAACTTCAGGGGACAGAAAAGTGACCTGGGACTCAAGGATTTACCAACCCTATACCGTGGACCTATGAAATCTGAAGCCCTGGGTTTCTGATGTTTCCTTTCAGTAATTCTGATTTAAGAGAATCCTGTATTTACTAGCCCCATAAAGCAAGTCATTTTTAAATCTCAGAGACAGATTACAAGGCTTTTTTTTAAAAAGTAACAATCAACTTTATCAATCCAGAAAAATCAGTAACTATTCATTGTTGGTACTCTGGGCGGGGGCTGAGTTAGAGTACACTTACAAATATGACTGTGATCCTGACTCTCTTATAGTCTGTTTGTAGAACTCAAGGACATATGCCAGTTAGTTGAAAATCTTAGAGAGGGGACTTGTGAGGCCAGACCATATATGACAATGATGGAACTGAAGTTTACATAGAGATAAGAGTAACTGATTTCTTTGCAAGGTCCCAGAAAGAACTGAGCTGTCCCAATTCTGCACAAAGATCTGACTGACTGCCACTACTTACTAGGAAGAATTAAGTTAGGAATACATACGCATTTGGAACTTTCAAAAGTGGTTTTGCCACAGCCTTGCCATTTATTAGCCATTTGGCCTTGTATGTGGGTTAGTTAAACTCTCTGAAACTATTCCTCACTATTAAACAGAAATGAGACTGCCTACCTTAGAGCTGTCAAGGTGTTATTTGGCTTACAGGCCCACCACTAAAGGAAGTTGTGGAAGGAACTCGAAGCAGGAGCCTAGCTGTACAGGTCATAAAGGAAAACTGCCTACTGGCTTGCTCAGCCTGCTTCCGTGCTCAATCCAGGCTCATCCTCCCAGGGGTAGGTAGTACTGCACAGGAGTCTGGGCCATCCAACATCAATCCTTAATCAAGAAAATGCCCCCACAGGTCTGCTGTCAGGTCAATGTGATAGAGACACTTTCTGAATTGAGCCCCTGGCATTTTAATGGATGTTTGGAGAAGACCAGTGTTGGCTTTTTGGTGTAAAAGTTGTGGTCCTCCCTTCTAAGAGAACCATCTCCATTCTGCTTTCAAGCCAATGAATGAAAATTCCAGCTGCCTGGGCTGGGAGGCAGCTTGGGTATATCTGGTTCCAGATCTCCAAGTAAATACTGAGATCAACAAGAAGTCACCCAAATAGGGATATCAGGCCACAGACTATATACATATATATATGTATATGTCTTTTGTCTGAATAAGGTAGAGGCAGACTGATACGAAGCAGGGCACACCTTCCAATGGCAGCACTGATCCTTCCCAGAGGCAGAGTCCCATTTACAATCCAGACACAAAAGTCTGCAACTCTTTCTCTATTTGTCCCCTGAGCATCACTGCCTGATGTAAGGCCTGCTCTTAGCAAGTGCTGGGGGAATACTTCACCTACTTCCTGTAGCTTTCTTTTCTTTCCACCAAAAAGGTAAACCACTATTTAAATTCTAACTGCAGTTAGGTCACCATGAATACCTTGATTGCTGTTTTACACTCTAAAGAAATTACTCCCGCTACTTCAAAATTAAAACAAGACTGAGTACTTATAAATGTGCTCTTCGATTTAGAAAAATCCATGTGCAGGTAAACAAAAGGTTTATACCAATTTTAAAGGTATAACGGACTACGTGGAAGCCACAAAAGGTCATAGAACTGGCTCTGATGTCCTTGGGTTGAGCCTTAAACATTTGAATATGAAATCACAGATCGTTAAGAAGTTCAAATGGTCTTATGATTACTGATTGATGAAATAATCTGTTCCCAAATTAGCTGCTATGCCTTTCCCGGCTATTCATATGCATAGTGCAAGCCAATCATCATTCAAGCAACAGTGCACATATATGTAGGGTGGATTATGGACCCCAAATTTGGGGTGCCCTCATGGGCCAGGCCCCCACTCTTGGGAAGTCAAGTGAATGGATGAGTTGATGTCAAATAATCTTCTCTTCCCTGATGGGGACCAAAAGCATAGGGCCTGCTGTGCTCTCAGTCCTTACTGGCTCTTGCCATTTCATGGAAGCATCTCTACTCTGCTCTCAGGGGACTCCACCTTGGCTACTTTCTTCAGTGAAAACATCCAAATGCTCCCATTTGTCTTATAGACTTGTGTTCACATACACAGCTGAACAGTCCAGAATACGCCTTTTATCAGCAAATGCCAAAAAAAGGTTACAATACATTAGAAACCCATGTGAAGTTCTCAGGATCCACCACAGCAGTCTCCAGCAAAGGTTCTGGAGCTAGAAGAACATGAACTCGTGGCTGCATTTCCCTGACCTACATTGTTTTCCTAAAAATCAGTTTCCTTATGTAGAGCACAGGTACCACTGTGCTCGTTAAGCTATGGCCAGGACTGAGTGAGACAGCATAAGCAACAGTCTCCCTTTTCATAGTGTTTCCATCAGTTCCTAGTCCCTGTTCCCACCTCAATGCTTATGGTGCCATCTTAGTGACCGTCAGAACCCATCAGGTGACAGGATGTACCCCAAAAAGGGGAACCCTTCTTTTGGGCAGATCTATATAGCCCATGGCTTCCCCAGTGAGGCATCTTTGTGTCCTGTACAAACTCTACACCACACAATGACCCTGACACCAACTCTCCACCCTCCATCAGAAAATGACCCCTGCTTTACAATAAGGCTTGGTGCAAGGGTAAACGGAGCCATTAGGGGAGGCAGAAAAGGGGACCTTTCTATCTCTGTCACAACATAGAAAAGGACTCCTGGCTTTGACTAAGCAACATTACTGATCTCCAGGTAACGCCCTGCCTGGGAGCCCTGGAGATTCAGCCACAGCTTGGATAGTTGGTAGCTCACTGTATGGAATGGCCAAACAAGATGCTCACTGTGGCTCCAGTTTTAGCAGTGACCCATCTACACAGAACCTACTGTGAGTAGTCTGAAAAGACACAGTCACACTAACAGAGCTGATGTACTGGTGGCTATTGAACTCCTGTTTGAATTGGATCCTTTAGAGTGGTTCAACGTGGAACAAACCAGTAGTCTTTTATCTCCAACTCTCTAACTCCTAATAATAAGCCTTGATTTTCAGGGTGCTAAAACAAATTCATCTGTCAATCAAAAGGTCAAAAAGGCCCCAATCAGTGTCTCCCCAAAGGCTAAGCTGCACTAAACTGGGAACCATGAGCCCTGATAACTTTGGACACAGCAGCCCAGGCTTCAATAAAGCAGTGATACCCACCCAAGATGAGTCACCCTGGAAAACCAGCAGCGATCACCTAACAGAATTTACCACAGGCATGAAGAGGCTCTTGTCCTCTACATGAAGGGCAATGCATTCAGGGCCAGCTGTCCTCCAAGATGGAGCATGACCTTGCCTCTGGAAATCAAATTAAACAATGTGATAGTTTCTGACCAGTATTCTGGCACAATGCAGGGTGAGCTAACACACAGAGTGCCGAAGGCAAGGGGCCAGCCATCCTCTGTAGTGCTGAGCCAAAGGCCAGGTAGGGTGCATCCTGTTGTGACCACCTTAATTCAAGAATGCTCAAGTGGCTGCCCATGGGAGGGTTCACACTGAGAACTCCTGCCTCAGAAAGTTTCCACTTTGCTAGCTTGTAGCCATTTTCCTACCTAGGCGGGGCCAGGCCTCACTTTGTTCCACCTGAGGTGCACAGCTTATTGGGGGTGGAGGGGTGCAGGTACAGGGGACAATGAGAGGATTTCGTCAAACCTTAATATAATTGTTTCTCAAGGAATTCTCACCATCCATCTGTTCCCCGGGAGAGGGCAAAGTGTGGATGACTCAGTGGCTAGATCTTTCCTCTAACTCCTCCTTTCTTTTGTGTATAGTTAAAAAAAGAAAACACAAACAGCCCACAGCCACAACATCAACAACCCAGAGTCCCCGAGGAGTTCGCCGGAGGTAAGGCGGTAGCTGCACCACCTGCTCGGTTTCCCCAACTCCTGGCAGCTCGGTGGCTCCAGGCTCCCAGGCCAGTGGTACCGGTTTTGCTCCACAGCGGAGAGCGGAGTAGCTGGCACTCCGGGCGCTGCAGGGTGGCTCTACGTGTAACCCTGGGCAGGCGGCCAAGCTACCCGGCTGTGTCCAGCCGTCGCCCGTGCCTTGGCCAGCTGGCGACCAGGCACGGGGACCCCGTGGACAGGTGGCCACTGCACACGGTGCACTCCCGGGTCACAAAGCTGTTGCGCGGCTGGGTCAGACAGTGGCAGGCAGGGGCTGGCACGGCGACCTCGGCCGTGGCAAGGCAGCGCGGAAGGCTGAACCCGGGGCGCGCACCCCTTACCGCGCGCTCTTTGTCCGGGGTGCGGCTTCTACT